CCCCTTGTTGGGCCTCAGATAGAAAAGTCTACAGCATTTCCGATTATATTATGTTTTTAAAAAAATTTAAATCAGCCTTTGGACATTTAATATTTTAAGTTTACTTTAGTTTTTCGAATAGGAAATAGATCCAAATAAATCCTTCAAAAACAAAAACAATATAAAAAAGTATACATTGAAAAGTCACTTGTGCACTCCAGGTGGTTCTTTACACAGATAGAACCAATATGAGTGTATATTCCTATTTTTACTCTTTCTTAGAGAGAAGGTTACATACTGTACACTTTCTGCCCATTGATTTTTTTTTTTTTTTTTTTTTTTTGGCGGGTAGCCAAAGGGTTCAGGGAACTGAACCCTTGACATTGGTATTACGAGGCTATGCTCTAACCAACCGAGCTAATCAGCTAGCCCTTTATTTTTGTACTTAAAATATGGCCGTTATTTAAGGACATATAAGGAGTAGAATATAAGCAGCTTGCTCCTTCTTTCTTCCAGCTTTGTGGTGTTCCATTCCATTATGTGGATTCACCGTATTTATTCAGTAGTTCCCTACTTATGGGTTTATAGGTTATTTCTAATATTTGCTGTTACACATTATGATACAGTGAATAACTCATGTATATGTTTGTTTCCTGTCTGTGGAGGGTTTTTTCACAGCAGACTCCTAGTAGTGATATTGCTAGCTCAAAGGAAAATGCATTCGTGTTTTTGAGAATGTTGCCAAAATACCCTCCAAAGGGCTGCACTCCTCCCAGCAATGCCGTTTCCCAGACAGATCTTGCCAAGAGTGTGTTGTTAGGTTAGAGTGTGGTGCTGATAACATCAAGGTCCAGGGTCTGATCCCTATGCTGGCCAGCTAAAAAAAACAAGAATATATTGTTAAACCCCTGGGCTTTTGCCAACCTGACAGATGAGAGAAAATGTTACCTTAGTGGGATATTTGTCATGTAAACTAAATTATGTAGCTATATACAATGAATGCAACGTGAGCCCCCATATTTGGACAACAGAAGGAATAAGTTGACCCTCATTTTAGTAACCTACTGGAAGTACCATCACTCCACTGGGAGAAACAAGAAACAAATTCTTTTTTTTTTAAAGATGACCGGTAAGGCCACGCTCTCCCAAATGAGCTAACCAGCCATCCCTATATAGAGATCTGAACCCGTGGCCTTGGTGTTATCAGCACCACATTCTCCCAAGTGAGCCACAGGCCGGCTCTGAAACAAGTTCTTTATTCAAAACTCCTTTGTGATGGGGAGGTCCCTGCCCAGGCTTTCTTTGCCTGCAGGATTTCTGTTGAATCATCTTTATTCCTCAAAGCCCAATGCTTCCTGCCAAGGCTGAGCATTTCACCTGAGTAGATGGGAGTGTCTGATGTCAAGCCTGCCTCTTCATGTTTGGCATTGTACACCCCTTGCCATATTCTAGATTTTCTCAGTAAGCCATGTGGCTTGAAGGGAGATCCATTTTCATTGGGGAGTCATTTTCTTCTAATCCCCTTATTAATTGCTGTGGGAGTCCAAAGCACATTAAAAACTTGCATCACAGAAGAGGTCCTTAACTCAAACTCTGTCTACAGCACATTCTTGTACTGTCTTTGTTCTTATACTGGTCTTTAAAGCCCTGGCTGAGGGACAGAGTAGCCTCACAGTTAGGAGTGCAGGTTCTGAAGCTCAATTGCCCACATTCAAATCAAATCTCCTCTACTCACTAGCTGTGTGATGTTGAGCAAGTTTCCTAACTTCTTTGGCTCTCAGTACCCTCATCTGACAAGTGGGATAATTATAGTACCTATTTCATAGGAGTAAATGAGTAGTAAATGAGTTATGTGTACCTAGCCTGGAGCCCAGTGCTTGGCACATAGTAAACCCTGACTAGAGGTTAGATCTCATGGTAGTGGTGGTGATGATAATGATGGTGGTGATGGCTGGCCATTAGGATCACACTGAGCCCTGCCACTTACGAGCTACATTTTTGTGACCTTGAGCAAGCAGTTTAATCCCTCACCTTGAGTTTGTTTGTTTCTCATTTCTTCACTGGTTTGTACCAACGGGAATAGCACTGTCCATCTAAAGCAAGAGTCAAGGGCCAGCCCGTGGCTCACATGGGAGAGTGTGGTGCTGATAATACCAAGGCCACGGGTTCAGATCCCTATATAGGGATGGCCAGTTAGCTCACTTGAGAGAGCGTGGTGCTGACAACACCAAGTCAAGGGTTAAGATCCCCTTACCAGTCATCTTTTTAAAAAAAAAAAAAAGCAAGAGTCAGCAAACTGTAGCCTGTGGGCAAAATCTGGCCTGCTGCTTGTTTTTGTAAATAAAGTTTTTTTGGAACACAGGCATACCCCATTTGTTTACATACTGTCTATGGCTGCTTTTGGGCTACAATGGCAGAATTGAGTAGCTGTACCAAGACCTTATGGTCTTATGACCTTATGGCCTACATAGTCAAAAATGTTTCCTATCTGGCCCTTTACAGAAAAAGTTTGCTGACCCCTAGTATAAAGGAGTGGTTGTGAAGATGTGGGAGGTGATGCCCAAACATAGAAGGTGGGCAGAGTAGGTGTCTGGTACAGTGGAGCATCAACAACCAAGCATTTAACTTTCCTGAATTCGGTCCCTGTCTCTTGCCTCCACCCCCACCATTCTCCTCCCACCTGAAAAGGTAAAATAGCAGGAATAATCACAATATGAGTAGGTTAATAAGGAGTACCATAAAATTATATTTTGCATATCTATTTTTATCATGTACTACACATTTCCATATGCACCAAAGTTACACACGCTTATTAGTCTACAGCAATGGATATAAAAAACTGTGTCCTGTGGACAGTACTTTACAGGAGGTTTAAGGCTCTTTTTTTTTTTTTCTTTAAAAAGATGACTGGTAAGAGGATCTTAACCCTTGACTTGGTGGTGTCAGCACCACGCTCATCCTGTGAGCCAACCAGCCATCCCTGTACGGGATCCAAACCTGTGGCCTTGGTGTTAGCACCACACTCTCCCGAGTGAACCACGGGCCAGCCCTTAAGGCTCTTTTTTAAGGATAACTTTGGCACTGATTTTCCTTGCCTGATGACTTCCGAAACTAACAGCCAAGGAAGATGTGACTCCCTTCTAAATGGTAGTGATGAATATTATCTGCATCTACAGCAAAGTAAAACTGAAGTGCCAGAATCTGCTAACCATTGAAAGTAAATCCTAAGCACAGATAAAACCCTTTCTGAAAGCGTAAATGGGAGAATAGTATTATATTTACAAAAATTCAATGCATTCACTTCTATTTTTCTTTTCCCCAGGCACACATCTCTTCTATAAAGTGAAGTGCACACGTATCATTTACATTCGGCCTTATTTATTGCTTCATAGCTGAAGCAGGCAGGTCACCTTGCAAAATGCAGAGGAACACCCCCTTAATTTTGCAAGTGGCATATATTGATATTAATGTCACCTTCTTCCACTTCCTTCCCCGAGTTGTTGTGAGAATAAATGAGATATAGGTAGGAAGATACTCAGAGAAGCTAAGTGCTGTAGACAGGAGCAGTGTACTCTGGTTACAGCACTTCCATCCTTGGCAAGAAAGTGCTGTCTCTGCATCAGGCTACCTGGAGGAGAGAGAGGCTCAGTGGTGTGACAACTGGGCCAACCAGTTTTCTAGGGAGTTTAGATAAAAATGCTCATCATTAGGGCAAATTATCTTCATTGGAAAACAAGCAAATTCTTTTCCAATTTAATGAGTAAAGAAGCTTCTAATTAACTCTGGTAGAGAGATTTGCTTTCAAATTTCAGTAGTTAAGCTCTGTATTAATATTTTGTTTTTATGATCCACCTTAATTTTCTTTAACTGTTCTTATTGGTGTAACAGAATTTTATAGATGAAAAGCAAAGCTAGAGATGATTCAACCTAACTCTCACTAAAAAAAAAAAAAAAAAAAAAAGGAGGAAAATATGGCCCAGAGAGATCTCATGACTTATCCAAGGTCCCATAGCTGGTCAGCTGTCCATCAGGACCAGGTCCCCAGGAGATGTGTGACCAGCAAAGGAAGGGCCGCAGCTTGTCCCTGGGGTCTGCCATGTTCACCCTGGACCAGCTCTGCTTCTGCCTGCTCCTGCTCTGGCTCAGGGAGGGGCCCTGCTGACATCTCTCTTTTCCCAGTGTTGCTTCCACTGCTAGAACACTCTTGTCTGTCAGCAACCCTGGTCTCTGACATGCTTAGTCCCTTCTGGATCTAGGTCTGGCTCATGGCTCATGGCTCCTGACTCTGCTTTGTGTACCTGACTCCCTGGTATATCATTGTCTCTGGCCAGCCTTGGCACCCCCTGGAAATCCTCCGACTGACAGCCAGAACATGTGGTTGAGGGTCTCTGAGCACATCCACTGTAGCTTCTGCCCCAGAGCTTCAGGGACCAGGAGGTCATGACAAAACTGGCCCAACAACCAGATCTCCTGATCCCTAAATCCTAGGCTCTTTTTGTTTGTTTTGTGTTTTTTTTTTTTTTAATTGATAAGCTTTATTTTTTAGAGCTTTCAAAAAAATTGAGCAGGAAGTACAGAGAGTTCCCATATACCCCCTGTCCCCATATACTACCTCCCCCACTATCAACACCCCACTCCACAGTGGTACATTATCCTGGGCTTTTTTTCATCCCTAAATCCTGGGTTCCTTGTCCTGAGGCAAAACACACACACACACACACACACACACACACACACACACAGAAAATAGTTCTAAGCAGACACTATGGAGCACGAAGGCTCACATCACTTCATTCTGTCCTGGCTTCCTGTTCTCCTCTGTTAGTCTGCTCCAAGGCAGGTGGCCAGTGACTACTCACAGCATCAAAGCTCATGCAAGGGATAGCCCTGCCCTGCCCCTCTGTCTCTCTCAGAACCAATTTGAAATTCCCGGAGCTCAGGGTCTGTTTGGCCACAGCTGGGTCAGGGGTCTCTTCCTAGCACCGCATGCTTAGGTTTGGGGCAGGGGATCATGTACAGTCATGGCTGCCCAGGGTCCCCACCCAGTAGACAAGAAGGAGAGGAAGAGAGAAGGTGGCAATTTAGGGTATCATTACGAGCTGAGCAGATGATCCAAAAGATATCTCCTGTACCATGATACTGTGTAATTCCATGGTCTCCTATAAATTCTCCAGCCACCTCTTTTCTAAATCTTTTTATATAGTGGACCCAGAGTTTGACCTTTGCCAAAGGTACATCCTCGGGCCTCTGCTCTTCCCTGTATTCTCACTTTCTTGGAAAGAGCATCATCCCTTGAGTTTTATCTCCAGCTGTGACCTCCCTCCAGCCCCCTACTCATATGTAGACCCACTAGAAGCAGCCACATCCAAAGATAAACCTCTTTCCTCTGAGACTTGGTCCCCATCTCTTGCCTCTCACTAAGCTGTCACCAAGCCTTTTTGCTCCTGCTTTCTGACTGCTCTTACTTAATAGAACATGTGGTTGTGGCTTTCTCACAAATAGCCACTCAGGAGTAAAGTTGGACAGTTTGGGAGATAAACTGACAACATGCAGTGATTCCTATTTTGTATTTTAAAGCCAAAGCAATTTATTAATTTTTCATCAAGGATTCCTTTTAAAATGGACACTTCCGGGGCCGGCCCGGTGGTGCACTGCTACAGTGCGCCACTTGGGAAGCGCGGCAGCGCTCCCGCTGAGGGTTCGGATCCCACATACAGACCGGTTCCCGCTCACTGGCTGAGCGAGGCGCGGGGGCAACACCAAGGGTTGCGATCCCGTTGCCGGTCCCGGTCCGGTACGGGGGCGACACTGAGGGTTGCGATCCGTTGCCAGACACGGAAAAAAGAAAAAAAAAAAAAATGGACACTTCCATAAAAGTTGTGAAAACTGCATTTGGAACAGCATATTTAAAACATTATGATGTCGCTCTGTTGGATGTATGCATACCTTTAAATGTTAGTCTTTGAGTTTTCTGGGAAAAGCAATAATTCTCTCTGAAATTGCCCATCATGTGAAATGCAGGTGCGTATCACTAATTCACATCTGCACCGTCACCTATGTGGTGAGTTTGGAGGTTTGGTGTAGCGCATTGATATGCACTCATCAAAGGTTATTTGTATGTGCACAGTAGAAAGCATTTTTGTGGAAGGCATTTTATATAATTCCAAACAATTTAATAGAAGTGTATTTTGACTGGGAAAACTACAGTCCATCAGCCCTTTAAGAGTGCAGATAATGTTCCAGATTAAAGGGCTGGAGTTTTGTTCATTATAGTCAAATAATGTGAGTGTGTGAATTACCATTTTCCTTGCCACTGGTCTATTTCACAAGCATGCCATTTTCCCATTATAATAGTAGGCTACATTTTCTTAAAATCATTTGATTGTGATTGGTCCTGTCTATTCAGTTTGCAAATAAAAAGCTTTCATGGTTATAAACTAGCTCTCCTAAAACAGCCTTAATTTCTGGTTCTGCTTTTGAATTGCTATAGGTCAGACTCTGCGAAAGACTGAGAGAAGCCGGTCCTGCTCACAGGAGAAAAAGGAGGTAAATGTGTCCCTGATGAGGGCTGCTGGGAGGCCACTCTATTTGAAAGGACCTGAGGGACAGGGTGGTGAATCAGTATTCCTGGATCACCTACTCTTTTCTCTGAATCCCAAGCTGGATCTCGGACTAAATGATAGTTGGCAACTAGATTTATCAACTCAGTGTCACTTGTGATAATTTCTTACTGAATGTATCAGTCAGCTTCGTCTGTGTAGCAAATCACTCCAAATTTTAGTGGCTTAAAATAGCACCCATGCATTTAGTTCCCAATTCCGTGGGTCAGCAATTTGGGCTGGGCTTACCTAGGCAGTTCTGCTGACAAGCCAGCTCTGCTGATCTCATGCATCTGCAGTTGATTGCTGTGTCACCTGGGGCCAGCTGAGTGTCAGGTGCCTCAGTTCTCCTCTACATGTTCTCTCATTCTCCAGCAAGCTAGCCAGTTTGTTTGTAGGGTGCTTCAGGGGTTCCAGAGTATGAGAGTGGCAGCTGCAGGACCTCTTGAGTTCCAGGCTCACAACTGGCATGGTGTCACTTCTGCCACTTTCTACTGTTCAGAGCAAGTCACAAGATCGGCCCAGATTCAAGGGGTGTGGAAACAGGCCTCACTTCTCCATGGGAAAGCTACAAAATACTGTGGATTCCTGAAATCCACCCCACTGAGCCTACCTGCTCTGTGCCAGGCACCAGGGGGACTGGGACTAAGGATGGGTGAGGCACAGTCCTCAGTCTCAGAGTGCACACTGTAGAGTTGGAAGAGAGATTCAGGAAGATTATTACAATAGTGTGAGAAGTGCTATCATAGAAGGATAGAGAAAGTGGGGTTTGAATGCAGAAACCAAGTCACCAAGCTGCCAGCAGTATCAAGACAGGCTTTGCAGAAAAAGGGATGTACAGGCTGCCTCTTGAAGGATGAATAGGAGTTTTCCAGTTCAAGTAAACAGTGTGGTCAAAGAGAGTCATGAATAAAGAGAGTTGCAAGATCACGGTGGGAAGTGGTAGCGAGGACCCACAGGCTATCGCAGGGCCCTTTTATCAAGTGCTAAGCTCCTAGGAGTTTAAATCTGAGTCTTGTTTTGTGGCAATGGTTGCAGGGGTGTGGGGGCGTGAAGGGGTGTGGCTCATGACAAATCTCAACTGATCCTGAAATGCATCAGCACTTACGTACTGGCACTTTTGACTGTAAAGTGACATAATTCCAGGGATGAAAGGGCATTTGCCAGGCTCAGCTGGGCACAGGGGCTCAAAAATGGCAACAAGACTTTCTCTTTCCATGTCCTGACTTTCCCAGCCAGCTCCGAGCAGGTCAGTTGGGGTTGCTCCACAAAGGGCCTCGTGTGCTTCACTGAACTTCCACCCTCTGTCCTGTTGTCACCCTTCTCAGCTGTCACCAGAACAGCCAGTGTGTGTTCTGTTCTTTCTTCAGTTGACCTCCCTGGGATGAGGGCTGGGAGATAACTTAGGAACTTTGATGCTGCTGAAAAGATCTAAATGCGGGTCCAAGTGGGCAATCTAGAGGCTGAGCTGGGGTGGATTTCCCACTTCCTCTGGTAAGGACTTTTTCTGGAGGCAGGAGCAGGTGCCCATCTTCCCACAGAGTTCTCCCAGAGGCCTTTGGGTGGAAGAGCGGGAACAGGAGTGAGCACAAGCCCTCAGCCCTCCCTCTTTATGTGGCCAAGGGCGGAGACCAGCCCCCAAGCCAAATAGCAGTATCCCATTTATCCATGTTTAGAAATTAGCTGGAGGGCCGGCCCGTGGCTCACTTGGGAGAACATGGTGCTGATAACACAGAGGCCGTGGATACGGATCCCTATATAGGGATGGCCAGTTAGCTCACTTCAGAGAATGTGGTGCTGACAACACCAAGTCAAGGGTTAAGATCCCCTTACTGGTCATCTTTTTTTTAAAGAAAAGAAAAGAAGTTAGCTGGGAATTTTTGTGGTTGTTGTGTCTTCTTGCCCCGCCCCCCTTGTTTATTTGTTAAGACAAGTGAACAGATATGATGTAGGAGGGAGGGGAGAGAGGGAAGAGGGAAGAGAAACGGGTAAAGGGTCATGAAAATTGACTACAATGTATATTGAGAAATTTTTTAAAAAGAAATTAGCTGGGAAGTGACAAAGAAGGGCTGTGGGGAACTAGTTCAGATCCTCTTTTATTCTCTCTCTCTCCCCTTGGCATCAGGACTCCCCTAATTGCTACTTTCCAGCTATTCCCATCATGCCAGTTGCCTGAGAGCATTCTAGACCATTCCTCTTTGGAAAAGTGCTTGAAGTGAGAGAAAACAGAGAGTGAGGCTGTTTATCACAGTACCCAGGTTTAACCCTGAAAGATATTTAAGATGCTTTCAGGCCCTCTGAAAGATGAGGGTGCTGACTCCCTTAGAGCTTTCGCATGGTTAGAAAAGCAAAAGAAAAAGAGTAGGAGGCTGCCAGGACTCTCATGTGATACATCATAACACGTCTTTTCCTCTGACCTCCTCTTTCTGTGTCCCTCCCGCTCTTGTCTGTGAAATCCTGATCTCCTGGCACTCTGCCTTGTGCAGGATGCCAGGTACAGATCAAGCTATGTCACCATGAAAGCCAAGGAGAAGACGAACTCTTTCCCAGAGCTGGTTGGAACACGAAACCAGGGATGCACGTCGCATTCCTTCAGTGGTGAGGCTGTGTGGTCCGGCTCACTCTCTGGCAGGTGAACATGCAGTTTCCACACCATGTCGGGACTTGGCACTTCTCCACATGGTCGTGGGACAGCACGGCAAAGGGAAGGTGAGGCTGCTCTCGATGAGCTTGCCAGGCCAAGTTCAGCCCAAAGATGTGCTGTATCTGGCCCATAACCTATTACAATTTTTTTTTTTTTTTTAAATTAGGTGTCTACGTTTAAACATTGGGAGATTTCACCTAAAAATGCAAACTTCTGACTTCTTTGGAAAAATGGAGAATGACAACCCTGACTCCTTTTTTTCTTTTTCTTTTTTCTTTTTATTTCGGTGGCCAGTTAGGGTATCCAAACCTTTGACCTTGGCATTATCAGCACTATACTGAGTCCTTATTCTTATAAGATGGTAATGGGTAATGGCTGTTATTAGTATGGCTGCCTCTTGCCCACAGCAGCCCGGTAGTGATCAGGTGTGCAGCCACCACATTTGGCGTGCTGGGCCCTGAGTGCTTTACATCAGTGGTTCATAAACTGCTGCACATTAGATGCACCTGGGAACTTTTTAGTATCCCAGCATCCAGGCCTCTTTCTAGACCGGTTAAGTCATAATCTCTGGGGTTGCACCCCCAGGCATCAGAATGTTTTAATCCCCCAAAGCAGTCCAATGTGCAGCCGTGGGGGAGAACTGTGGACAGTGCTTCGCCTGTGCTAAGTGGCCCTGGCTCTTGACCCAGGTGCTGGCTTGGCCCCCATGGCTCGTCAGTCTCCACCCCTCTCACAGATACCACTAGGCACAAATCAAAGAAGAGAATGATGAATATCCAGGGGGTGCCTGGAAAAGATGGCCTGAACTAAGGCACTGGAAGGGTTACAGCCATCTCTGAAAAGTGTAGCTTTGATGTTGGCTTGAAGTCAGTAGATACTTTTTTTAGCTGGTAAAAATATTCTCAGCCTGTCTCTAGCAAGTATTCACAGTTCCTGCCTGTAGAGATTATATAGTGTTTGTGGCCCTTGATTTTGAATTATTAATGATTGTGAAATTGTGATCATTGTAGTTTACTTAAAAATCATTAGGAAGTAAATTTGTCATACCGTATTTTTTTTTTAAAGAAAATTACAGAGGATGAAGAAATTTTTATTCATCACCTAGTCCAACCCTCCAGCGTCCATGCTGGTGCCCAGGGCACTCTGGGGCTCAGGGGCATGGCACTGGGGACACATCCTCCTACTACACAGAGCCACAGCAGCCCTGGTGACTCTGTGGATGAGACCCACCATGTGCTGTGAGGACTTTAGTTCAGGTCCTGGAGTCAAGCAGCTCTGCCTCAAATCCCAGCCATGCAACCTTGGACAAGCCTCATGACCCCTCTCCCCTCATCTGATAATGCCTGCTTTGGTACAGGTCAAAGGCAGCAGTGTATCAAAGTACCTAGCACAGTGTTTGACTCACAATTAGTGTTCCACAAGTGTTAGTCATCACATTATGCAGTGTGTCTAGCATTTAACAGAGACTAACCAGGAGAAGGCAGAACAGTTGCACCTCTTAGTGAAGGGTCCTCCCTCCCTCCAGCTGGACTTCGGCTGATTCCTGTCTTCCAGCTTCCTGGCTGTGTGTCCCCGGGCAAGTGGGCCCCAGGTGGGCCAGCCCCCAGGCCCCTATTCTTAACCACTCTGGAGCCTCCTGTAACAATGGATGCCATCTTTTGCAGTTGATTGGAGATTCCAACAAATGCTTTGGACAGCACTGTCCTCTGCTTAACTCACTTTGTAAAGGATTGCAAAAGTCATCTAACTCACCCAACTAGAAAATATGAAGCCTTCCCTTTGCACACACACACTGTATAAGTCAGGGTTCTCCAGAGAGAGAGAACCAATAGGATGGATAGATAAGTAGATAGATGGATGGATGGATGACAGGGGATTTATTAGGGGAATTGGCTCACATGATTATGGAGGCTGAGAAGTCTCACAACAAGCCGTCTGCAAGTTGGAGACACTAGGACGCCAGTAGATGTCCCAGTCCGAGTCCAAAAGCCTCAGAACCAGGGAAGTCAATGGTGTACTTCTCTATTTGATGCTGAAGGCCTGAGAGCCTGGGTTTGGGGTGGGGTGGGGGGCATTGGTTTAAATCCTTGAGTCTCAAGACCAGAGAGCCTGGAGTTCTGACGGCCAAGGGCAGGAGGAGAAGGGTGTGTCCCAGCTCCAGGAGAGAAAAAGACCAATCTGCCTTTTCTCTATTTTTATTCTATCCGGGCCCCCATTCAACTGGCTGGTGCCACCTAAATAGAGCGTGTATCTTCCTCACTTAGTCCACTCAGACTCACATGCCAGTCCCCTCTGGAAACACT